TACTTTCGACTGGGAGTGTGTATGATCGCTAACTCATTGAGTAATTCCTTTAATGAAAATGAGGTTGAGTAATTATTAACTTAGAAAGTAAGGCTTATAATGACAACGACGGCCTTGAGTGATATACCAAGCTCATAATGGTCAATAAATTTGTATACTTAATATTTAATATGTATCATATTCCTGTTAGCTTTTCTTTGATGATCCTGATTTACAGAAAAATCATAGATATTGAAGGACAAAATTTGAGAGAAATTGGGGAATTTAAAGCGTATGTAAGTTTGGGCTCCAACTTCATTATATTACTATACTTTGCTTCTCCTATAGCTTCCCAAAAATGTGTGATATTTTATAAAATAGGTAGCACAAATGAGGGAGAAGTACAAGGAAACAGAGACTATGAGTTAGTTGTATGAAGTGGCGTTGGCTTAAAACTGAATTAGGCGGGTAAATTGGCTACACTCCCCAAAACATGGTAATTTTTCTCACTGAAACGCTTCTGTCTGAAAAAAATGACAATCGCGTGAATCAGTTGTATGAAATAAATGTCGAGAGCTCGAAAGCTTCAGAGGCTATATCGTATATAACCTTAAAAAATCTGTCCGTTAGCTTAAAGCTAAATTAGGCTTGTAAAATTATTGTCAGATCCAAAAGCTTTCAAGAGCTTAAAAGGCTTCTCGTGTTCGGGTAACTTTTCTGCTTTGCCGTAAAGCGGACAGTATCAGAAGTGAGAATAAAAGAATAATCTCACGATAAAAATTTACAGATATTCTAAATAACTTCAAAATTCAAACTGGCTACACTCCCAAAAAAATGGTAATTTTTCTACGCGTCTATGCGACTATCTCAAAAAACAAGCAATGATAATCACCATATGAGTTAAATGTCGAAAGCTCTAGAGCTTTACCGCTTATTTATAATCTTAAAAAGCGTCTGATGATCTGTGCTTCTTTCTAAGCTGACTTAAAGCTTGGTTTGACGAGTGAAATGTCTGTTACAAACAAAAGCTTTCGAGGCATTAAGAAGCTACTGGTGTTCGGTGAGCTTTTCTGTGTTAGCTTAAATCTGGCAGCTTCATAAGTTAAGGGAGAAGAATATTCTTACTGAAGAATTTAATATTCCGTATTACAATTGACTACATATTTAAGGAACCTGATTTTCAATATTTACAAATTCATCCTAATATTATTCCTTTCATTTTATTTTGACTACGAATTTCGAATGTCTGCCATTATTTATTTAAGAATAAATTGTTGGCTATTTATTACAACCAGTTCCTCGTGCAATTCATATTTCTGCACTTGTTGGCGAATTCTTTGCACAGACGCAGCAAAAAACAAAGCACAAATAAAAGAAAAGCTAGCTAGCTAGTTGTCATTAGTGGAGCACCGCAGCTGCGCATTTTTCACTGCAGCGAAAAACAATAACAATTGCAACAACACACGGCACGAGATCATGCCAAAGCAGGGAAAAGTTGTCAATCGAGACTTTTTGCTTTCAGCCATTCGCAGCGTAGCGTGTTGAGCGTTGCAGATCATCTCAACGGACTTCATTTACTCAGCGTACCATGCAACACGCTCGCCATAGTCGCGCACACATATACGACGCGTCGTGGTATGGCTCATCTCAGCCAGCCACTTGCGTTTTGGCATCGATTTGTCTTTCGTAGCGACTTGTTTGCTTGTCAGGTTGGCGGTTTGGCTGCTTGGCTGCTTGGTTGGTCGCCTTGATCTTGGCCTGGTGTTAGCTTGCCTCGTTTCGTCCGTCATTGATACCCGCTTAACTGTTTCGCCATTTTTCCTGACATTCCGAATCCGGTTAAATATGAACGAACGGCCGAACGGACTTGATTCGTCCACATCAACTTACTATTCAACTTAATTGAATTGTGGATTAGGCTGCTGCTGAGCTGTAGAGCTGCAGCTGCGGCTGCTGGGGCCGCCGTTACCGTTGCGGCTATTCATACGGTATATAGTGTGCCGCCAAACAAGTGCGCATGTGTGTGAACCAGTTTTTGCCGTTTTCTTTTTTATACATACATTTTATTTAATTTTATTGTTTTTATAATTTTTTTTTTTTTTTGGTTCGTTGCTTATAACTCTCTGCACAGTTTTAATTTAATCTCCTTTGACGAGTTGTATGTCAAATGCGAAAAACACCAAGGAGTTAGACTGAATGTGAACAGGATTTGTGATATGGCAATCATATGTGTATAATGCACTTTCCACACATCATATCTAGATGTGTACGAGTATATATTATTGTCTAGCTTGAAAACTGGAAGTCGCGCGTCTGATTGAGACATGCCATCATATTTGACCCGGACTGGCCAAAAAAAAAAAAAAAATTCACGTATTTTAGACACATTTTTATTATCGCTTTCAAAATAGTTTCCTTTCATCTAATTTTCAATACATCTGTTTAAAGCTTACAGCGCCTTTAGCGAGTGATTTCTAATGTGTTCAATGGACTCAGGGAACGTTTCGAGATTTTTTAGTTTCGTAAACAAAAAAGTCACAGGAAGACAAATCTGACGAATACGGTGACTGAGCGATGACTCTTGTATGGTGTTTGGACAAAAAGTCAGTCACAACCATGCTAGGATGTGACGGCGTATTATCGTAGATAACTCAAAGCGGCCAAGTAGTATTCCTTATTGACCGTTTGAAACTAATTCATGGTAAACAACATACGGTAATCAAAGAAGACGTTGAATTTCACCTTAATTTTTGACCGACCTTAACATGGTGTTTTCAGTTTCGCAATTTATAGATCCAGGTCTCGTCAATAGTATTGAAGCGTTTAACGAGTGTAGGGTATTCAGCTGCGTTTGTGAAGCATCTCTTTTCCGACCTTTACACGCAACAGATTCTGGTCTATTGGTACGAGTCTACAAACCTCTTTATTTCCTTTTGGAAGTGATTAAGATTGGTCTAGAGGAAATTTGAATATGTGTTTTTAAAATGCTGAGTGATCTTCTCTAATTCTCTTTAAATGAATCTGAATGTCATTCTTAAGAGACATATGAAATAGTTGAGGCGGGAGGATGATCCGATAAAGGGCTTTCTTAGTACAGCGAAGTGAATTCAAACCTATCTTTATATAAAAAATAATATATATATCAGCTACGTCTAACCATTTGTAGTCCGGAAGTTTGAGACAACTGATTATACAATGAGTTTATTTTGTAATTTTGACCTTAAGGCTATTTTTACTGTAATATCTTAATTTTGTGCAGATGTGAATCTAGTAGCCGGCAAACTGAAAACTGTGTATCATTTTAAGGATTTGGTTAAGAGAAAATTGTATATTATTATTCAGTTGCTATCAAGGGAGATACATCAACTATAGTAATCTTCTAACTTTTCGTTACAATTTTTTGTATACAATTTGTATTTTGTAATATTAATAGTACCATTAAAGGGTCTCAATCACGGCGAAAACCTTTTAATTGTAGAAACATCCAATTTTAGCGAGCATTATTTTGAGGTGTGAGCACAGAAAAAGCCTATGGGGTTCAGAACTTGACTTTACGACTTTATTTTTATTAGTTTGTGTCATTGGCTTAATGAAACAGCACTTTCTTCCTCCTCAAATAGGACCATTTAAACGTGATTTCGTCCTTTGAGTATTGGAATAACTCTATATAATATTCGTATTTCTTGTTCGAGATGATCGGTTCCTTGCATGCTGTCCACTCGAACAACTGGACTCAGAAGTAAAATTATGAAAGAATGTTTCTTACATTCATTCTAATATGAATTGAACGGAATTCAGAAAACGCCTTTGTTCAGTGGCTTAGTTTGGTAGTGAGTGTGAGTGAGTCTGGAAATCTCTTTGGAATCCACTTGTTGGTTTCATCGTATTTTTTTCATAAAAATATAGTAGTTTACTCAAAATGCTATATCTCGAAATCCATTGTCGACATCAGTGAAATGTATAGGCTTGTCGTTCATTGAAGTTTACTTCTAACTGCTAATTAGAAGGCTATAAATGTCCGTCAGTCTGTAGGTATATATGCGAACTAGTCCCTCAGTTTGTGAGATATTGATCTGAAAATTTTCACACCTTCTTTTTTTCTAAGAAGCCTCTCATTTATCGGACTACAATAGGATATAGCTGCCATACAAACTGATCGATCAAAGTCAAGTCCTTATATATAAAACTATTTTATTTTACAATATATCTTCACGAAATTGGGCATAGATTATAATCCGAGATAACGCTAGAATCTCCTAGGAAGTTGTTCAGAGTGGACCACTATAGGCTATAGCTGCGATTCAACTGAACGATTAAAATCAAGACAAATATCTTTTTATACTATTTTGTGCTACTTGTATAATAAATGAACTATTGAAGGGTATTAGCATTGGTACAGCCGAAGTTTTTATGGTTGAATGTCATAAACCTGTATTTTATTGAGCCTTTTTACATTTTTATATAAAAGCGAAAATAAAAAGTTTAAGCACATTATGACAAAAATATAGGTGAACAGTATAAAAATCTCCAATTATTAAAGTAAATATTTCAAATAAATACCATAGTATATCCTAAATTAAAACCCATTTAGAGTAAGAATTCAATATTAATATGAATATTTAATTTCTTACAACAAAACTTCACATGTATGGTACACTAAAAAGTTGTGAACACTCACACCAACAAATCGCAATAAGGTTAATAAACGGCATATCAACAAATCGCCATTAAATTGCATTTTGTCTCTATCGTGTCGCTGGCAATCAATAAATTAAACAACCTGTATCAATGCCATGCAACGTAACAGCAAAGAAAAGTAACAACAAGGTCAGCCGAAGCAATGGCAGCAACAACAGCAGCGCTGTAATTTAACAGCACACAGTAGCAGTATGCTAATCAGCGCCCGCTGTTATGGCTCTCTTACACCTGCCATTCCACTGGAAGCTGCTGGCTCTTGCTGACCGACTGACGTTGAGTGAAAGCAGAAGCACCACGAAACCGTTGTATGTACAGCACATTCTCCAGTTCAAATGGCAGCTGCTGCGCCAACCGCTCAGCAAGATCATTTCTACTAAACAAATGCGAGAATGAGCTTACGAGAAGATGAAGAGGCAGTCACAGCAGCAGCTGGAACTGCTAGACGACAAGCAGCGTCAGTCTAACGAAAGAAAGTAACGCTTTGGATCGCGTATTTCGCGTTCGTCATTCGTTGCGTGCACACGTGTTCTCGGCTGCGTCTCGCTAATAACCGTTATTGTCACAACAAGTGTGTTACCACACTAACTGATATACAGCTGCTGAATCTGGCAGTATTTTGGTAGACACTGGACGAACAAGTGCAGTTAGTGTTTGCAGACATAAAAAGAAACAACAGCAACAATAAGATAAAAAATAAAAGAAATAATACTTAAATAGTAAAAAAGTAAGTGTTGAAGAGCAAGTGGTGCTGAACGCACAAGCAACCGACCAACTGAGTGGTCAACCATTCAGAAAACACAGAAAGAATAATCAAACAGTCACAGAGCCAACAAAGGCGCTCCACTTCTTGTGCTGGCGAAAGACTGCTGGCTGTTGACTTGTTGGCGCATAACTGTTTTTTTTTCGTTGTGGTGTATGTGTGTCTGGTGTTGTTGTGCAGACTAAGAGCAAAAAATAGCGAATTAAAAGAAAAAATATTAATAATAAAAAAACGAGTTGAAAAAAAAATATTTAAAAAAAATAATTAAAAGATGTAAAAATATTAATGTTAGGTTGAAAGAATCGCATAAAAAAAAGAAAAACCATAACAACAAACTAATAGTGAAGTTTATCGCCACAAAACATTAAAACATTTACAATCTCGGTAATCAACACCAACCAGCAAAAAAACCGCAAAATCGCCAACACCATCTCGGTGAGTCAACGAAGCAACTCTGCGTTCGAGCCTATCCTGTGTTGCTGTGCGCTGTGCCGTCAAGTGTGTTTTAATAAGGTGCGAATTACAACTGAGTTTTTATCACTTAATTTTTATTATTTTAAAGCAACAACAAAAACAACAATTAGAACAGAGTTTGCATAAAATTCAGCATGTAGCTTCGTTGAGCACAGAACGCGCTGTTTGCTAAATGTAAAAGTGTAAAATGCTAAAAGTAAATAGTCAAAATAACAATAACAATAACATTTATAGCAATAACTGCACAAAGCATGGAACTCATCTTGTGGTGCAAAGTATAAAGCAGTAAAAAAGAAAGCAGCACATTGCGCTCATGCATGTGTGCGTGTGTGTGTTTGTTGGTTTTTGTTGTTGTGTTGCGTTCTACGCGCTGACCGATATTTTGTGCTTCTACTTTGTGCACATCAATGGAGAGTTTAATGATCGATAATTGCGATTCAGCGCTAGTATATTTGACACACACTCATAAGTATGGTATATTTATTTATATTTAGCGCAACGGGGGTCCAACGGCTTTATTTAATTAATGCTGAGTAGGTTTTTTTTTCAATAATTACTATAAGCCCGCTAATCACTTTCGTAGCAAGTTATTAGAAACATGAGAAAAATTATCTTTTATTTTCCACCAAAACCAATAAATGTTGGAATGATATCCAATAACAGTTAATTTATTATAGATATTTGAGTTTTTTCCAAATAAAAGTAGCAAACTTTAAACGGTTTAATTAACTTGGTCTGAAACATGGCCAAACAATTTTTTTCGGAAGAGCATTTTAATTAAAAAGAAAGTTTTTTTGGATTTGATGAAATTGAGTATATGAGATTATGAGATATGAGAATTGTGAAATATATTACAATTGTATCATCCCAAAATTATTCTTCTATCGTCCTAAAATATTTAAATTTTTTGATGTTAAAATTTTTAAAAGTTTTTTTTTCATCAAAAATGTTTGGGCAAAATTTCGAATTCTAATAAAAAGAATTGAAAATCGATTTCACAATTTTAAACTTTAATATGAGCATCGATGATTTTAGACAAATGTAAGTTTTTAATATTATATATACGATTATGTATGTATATGGTATCCTAGATATTTTAATTCTTTTTCAATTTATTTTTAATTCAAGTATTTGACTTTTTGCACATAAATTTCTAACTTCTATGAGAGCAGGAAACTTGTATATTTTATGGAAAAAGTTATTTGAGACTAACTCATTTAGGGGTTAATTTTTTAACTCAGTGTAATCGGTGCCCGAAATTTTAAACGAGTTTTTCTCGGAATCTTGGAGTTGATAAGGAAAATTTCTCCGAAACGGCCGGACTGATCGATTTTTCACACGACCTTTTTAGATATATTTGACAGCCAATGATCTAAGATGTAAGATTTTTGATAAAAATTTCGATTTTTTGAGGAAAAACAGTCATTTTCTGGACAAAAATCTTAAAATTTTGAATTTTAGTACTTCGATCATTCATTTAAAATAATAATTTTTTTTTTGTTTTTTGAATTTGAGATAATTTTAAGGAGAAAAAGCTTCCTCAAAGCTCAACACCTTATTTTGTCGGTCCTTATGGATTTTGACTACAGAATCAAAGGAATGCAAAATATTTCATAATGAATCACCGTTTATTAAAGTACATTGAATTCTGTAAATGCGTAATTTTGATTTATTTATTAGATATGCACTATAAGCACTCTTCAAAAAAACTTCAAATTCTTGCAAGTAGATAATAATTGAGATAATCTTAATTCTAAAGTCTTAGTATAAAAACAAAATATATATAGGTATTAGAAAAAATATTTAAAGCGGTAATTTGAGATACCCTAAGCATGCAACGCTTAGTAAATTTCTACAATGACACATAGCAAAATATTGATTTACACACAGCTATAGCAACGCTGCACTACGAAAATACTAGTGGACACCTATCTCCAATACTTGTACTATTAAAATTTATAAGGAATTGAAATGTACACATACGTGAATTAATATATATCTATACAAAATGAGGCGTAGGCCTAAGTAGCGAGTTTCCTTAGTTTCCTAGTCTGTCTGTAAATTTATGTACAGGCCACACTTACAAAAAAAAAAGATGGGAAAACATTTATTTTTACTTTTAAATTTTATTAAAAATAAGGACAATGATTATTAATTGGAAATAGTATTTAAATAAGTCTACAAGCCACAAAATCTTCTTTGATTTGCTTAAGATTTTTACATTAAAAATATTTCATTATTTTTCAACTTAAAAGACTTCAGCCTAGTATATCTAGCCATTTTTTAATTTGAGACAATTTTTTTAGAAAAGTATTTATTAACGAATCGGAAGATAGGTTACACTAGATATCCTTGAGGATTTTTATTCACCCAGCTTCGGTGCACATTTGTTAAATTATTTATTTTAATTTGTAACTATGTGAAATCGATCATTTTCCTAGGAATCTTTTTGGTAATAAATTGGCAATTTAAATCAGAAATCCCCTCAAATAAAGAAACGCCATACATTTTGTACAAGAAAATAATTGACAACATAATGACAATGACATAATATATTCTATCCAATATATCCATTTTTAGATTTTATATGTGTTTAATTTTATTTTGATTTTCTAATTAATGCTTAATTCATCACTTGAAAAGAGACAAATACTGATGGAATTTGAAATGCTGCTATTAGGAGTTCCATTAAGCTCAAACAGTTATATAAGCATGTCACGATAATATTATGTACCAAATTTAATTCGAATGCATCTACTGAGTTAAATAGTTTCAATTAAAAGTAAGCGGTGCAATGCCTACTTCTAATTGTTTCGAAGATAACCATTGTATAAAGTATTGCCGTACGTATAAAAAAGTTTTACAACAAAATGTATTCATATATTTTTCATCAACACGGCTCCATTTGCATATCTCCACCCGTTTAGGACAATTTTCAATGACCCGGTGCCACATTTCGGCTATATATTATATATATACAATATTTCGGTATATATAATATACCCCAGAGAAAATAATCTAGAGGTGTTAAATCGCATGATCTTGGCGAACATTTGACTGGGCCATTTCTCAAAATTAACGAGTCGCAATGATGCCGTTTTCTAAACCACACAAGATTTGACTCACCCCAGTAGCGACAATTTTATGTATCGACGAAGCCATTAAGCCAGTAATGGGCCTCATATGAGAAGTTGATTTTTTGATGAACGTTGTTAAACGTTTTTCTTTCGAGAACGTGAATTTGCGCAATAATCTTGGACAATTTCCAAGCATTGTACCAAAGTTAACAAATCTTACTGAACACACTGACAAAATTTGACACAAAGCCGTAAATAAACATGGCCGTCACGAGCTGTCAAAATCACGTCATCCCTATTGGTAAAGGCTGTATGTACCTACAAACATACAGTAATTGAAATACCGCCAATCATTTCATTTTCTTCTTTCTTTCACTAAGAATACCAACTAAAGGCAACTGTCACCAATTGGTTTGATGACAATTTTATGCTTTCTAATTTCTAGCACAATTAGTTGTTACCTGTATGTCACAACAACAATAAGTAAAAGTTGGGAAAAAAGTCGCAAGCATAACAGGCGAGAAAAATTAAAGAAATTCCGCTGATTTTCAGTTGTAAATTTGCAGCTTTGTTGTTGTGCTTTTTCATTTTCCAATTTACCCTTGACAAATTTTTGGCAATGTCATTAATGGACAAGTAATAAATAAAAAAAGAAAACAAGTAATAAAAATGTCTTCTACAAATCGAATGCTTTAGTTATTTTTGGAAGTGTTTCAAAGCTAATGAAGTTATTTTTACTATTTGGAAATAGTATAAACAATTAAAATATTGTGCTTTTAAAATGTTATTCAATTTTTTTAAATTATTATTAAAAAGACTAGCAATTCAAGTTATATTTGTAAAAACTTTTGAAATATAATGTCGGTGTGTGTGTTAGTGATCTTCAATATTTTTTAATGCTAGAAATAACCGCTTCGAACTATTATTTGCTACGGCACACCGTTTTGAAATTTGATAACTTTGTGGATTACTTGCATTTACCATTACAACTAAAGTTATATTTGACTTTTATGACGCTTAAGCGGCATTTCGAAGCCTTTTCCATATGTCTACAGCTAAAATATTTTATTTTTATTTTTTTTAAGAAAAGCTGTATATACTATAGATTAAATTTGTTAGATTATTTCCTTATGGCTTCTTTAACTTTACGAAGTTAAAATATCGGAATAAAGAGTTTTCAATAACTTTTCGCTTGCCCCCACACTAAATTGATATATTTTAGTCTTATACATTCGAAGGACTACTTATCTTAAAATATCAAATAAGTAATATATAATCATTAAAATTCCTTCTTTTTGTAAAAAAAAAATATTACAAGATACTGTGGCTGTTTTTGAGCGTGAATAAATATTGTAGATACCAGGCTTTCTGAGCTCAAAATGAGCAAAAATTGACAAATGCAAGCACTCGCTAACGTGACGTCATTTGCAGCAATATTTTTGCTTAGAGGAAAAATAAACTATTTTTATGTAGACATTCACAAATTTCGAAGCAACCAGAGATTAGGAAATATAGAATTAGTGTATTAATTTACGTTAAAAAATTTGAAACCATTTTCAACTGTTTTTTAAGTTCCTCATTTTTTAAGCTATAGTAACATATCTTGAGTATCGTTAATCGGCTTTCTAAATAAGTTCTTCGAAATAAAGTACATATAGTATGTATGAAAACCTAACTTTTATATCTGAATTTAGGTTTTGAGACCCCCACGTTATCGTGGGTACTTAAGTATTACGATAACACATAGCCCTGACATTAGACAGAGTCACGGCGTAATAGAAAACAGGTCTCATATAAAATTTCATTAAAACATACAATATTTTAATTAATTAAAATATAAAAAAACTTCAAATTTTTTAGCATTGTTTTTGTTCTGAGTTTTCTGAAACCCAGATTCATTTTCCGCATATACTAGCTGTTTGAAATTCATATAATTTATATTGCGAGATAAAAAGTCGCTGGAAATTAAAAAAATGTGGCTTTATATACATTTTTGAAATTTTTATCGCTGCCAACCACCTGCTGCAGCGCCAGTAAATTTCTCCCATGCTTTACAATTCAACAATTTGCTATATTATTGTACTTTTACAGTTCTGTGTGTCTTTTACGATGTCTGTCCAACTGCCAGTCCGCCAATCATGTCTGATTGTGTCTTGTGTTGTTCTGGTTTCACGACTCAAAGCTGCTAAATTGCCAATACATGTGTTCAGATCTTCTGTAACATACATATCTATGTACATAAATATATAGAGTGTATATATTTTATATGTATATGTGTGTAAGTGCATATATGACATTTTCCCAACCTTTCTAACTTAACTATTAATACTTTTATTAGCATTACCGTTATTTTTACGGCTTATTTATTTTCCTCAACATAGTGTTAAAGAGACATACATACCATACATATATATTTATTTTTGTGCAAGTGTGTTAATGTAAGCAAATATTATCTCTAATATTGAAAGTATTTGTGCTACATGTGCAAAAGATATAATATCCAGATAAGTAAATATGCTTATAAGTAACAGCATATGCACAAATAACTGATAGTAGTTAAACATATGTTTATACATATATACATATGGTGTATATGTATGTATGTGTATATTATTTTATTTATGTGTTTAAAAATTTACCTTATTTTCTTTGCCACAACACTGTCATTTCTGCCTCGTTTCAGCGCATTAAAAGTTTCTCACTTTTTTCTAGCGCGCAAATTTCGAATTTTACTCGCTTGACTTGCTGCGCATGCGCGCACGTTCACTTGTTATTTATTCATGTATCCATAAGAATGTGTGTGTTTGTTGCTTGCTGCACGTTTGCATTGCACATTGCTTGTGTTGCTATAATTCTATTTTCCAAAGCTCAAAAGCCATTCGCGCTTCATTTTTTCTCCACTCTTACCCACCATTTATTTGTTCTTATTGTGGTTTTTGTGTTAGCTATTTACTGTTGCTGTATGCAGCTATTTTCTCCCATCCATCAGCTTGGCGAGTGTAGCATAACATTTATAACTAACGCCATATTTCTGCTGCTATTTTTGCTTCTAAGCATATATTTTCTGTATGTGTCTACATATGTATATATATTTATGTATGTGTGTATGAAAAATATATATAAGTGTATATATATATATACATGTGTGTGTGTGTGTGCATTTTAACGTTCTATCTCAGTCACAGCGACGTCTGTCATTGACGTTATGTTTTTTGCCATGCAGCCACCTCTACTATTCATGCCATTGATCCACTGATCCATATTTCTCGGTGGCAGACGCGAGCTCGCAGGCGCTAATTAATAATACATATTATGGCTGTGTGCGCTGCACTTTTTTTGATCGGTCTGGTGGTTGCACGCCGCCAACCGAGTTGTAGCCAAGCTGTGCGAACCGCGTTAATAGCGTTAAGAGAAAAAGCGAGTAGCCAAGTAGCTCGTTTGGAGTGCGGATAGACAAGCTGCGCCGAATTTCCCCTTCAGTTGCTTAAATGTGGCAAGTTACTATTATTTTATTTTCGCTTCATGCTATGGTTATTATTTTTTCAATTTACGAGTGGGTTTTTTGATATGCGCTGAGCGCCCATTAGTTGGCGCAAACTAAATCACATTTCATATTAAATTTACAGTTACCTGGAAAAAATTATTAAAATATATAAGTGGAAATTTTTAAAGCCAGGCAAATTTAATGAAATAGAATATTAATTAGTAAAATTTTAAGAAAAAAAAAATTAACTATTTTTTAATAAAATCCATTTTTTTTAATTTTTTAAACTTAAAATTTTAATTTTTTTTTAAATAAATTTCAAAAATATATTTAATCAGTATAATAAGATAAGCGTTTTCTTTGCCATTTCTACATCTTTTATAGAAATCAACATTCAATACATAAACATATTGCTTGCAAGGGTTTTTGGGATTGTTGCTGTTAAGCGATTTGGATTAATTGATTTACAGTGTTTCTGAGGTGAGTACGAAAAAACATTCATAAGTGTATTACACATTTCTAAATTGAATTAAACCAAGTAAAATTAATAGAGAGTAAAATTATACTTCAGTCGAACCTCTTTTTCTGTTGCAAATTAAGCTTTCTGCTGATGAAAGCAGTTACTGGTATTCTCAAAAAAATTAATCTTCAATCTCAGAATAAGACTTTGAAAATACGTGCGAAGTTTTAAGCGAAAGCCGAATTCGGAACCAAAAAAGTTTGGACGGTAATTGCAAATCAATGTATTCCTGTCTTGTTAATTGAAATTTTAAATTAAAGAAAAGTTATAGTTTATCAATAACAAATTTCAGTTTGATTAAGACAACTCTGAAACTTAAATTCTGAATACACCTAGTTTGTTTACGGTTGTGTGAAGAGTCTACTTGTACAAAGTTTAAGATATATTCAACAATGTATTCCTATTTTGTTAATTCAAGTAAAAAATGTAAGAAATAATTAGACGAAAAAATTTAGGATCTAAAGAAGTTTTGCCCCTTCTATCTTACTAATGAATATGAAACTCTCTTATAAATAAGCCAAAGCTATTTGGGAAGCGAATTTATCATATAGCGCCTTAAATAAAAAATATTTTAAATATTTTTTACAATTTATAAGTGATACTTTAACACGACATAAACAATACAAGCTTCCACTAATAAACCATATTTTTAGTAACGGTGATAAATCAGCGTAAAAACTGGGCAATATTATAATTGTGGCTTAGCGATATATTATTTTAAGCCTTGTGAAAGTTTATACGATAGCGGTTTGATAAAACAGTTAGTAAACTATAAAATGGTGACCCGTAACAGACCTCTTCGATTCTTATTAAAAAAGTACATGTGGAAGCAACAATAAAGCTAGGCTTAATATCAAGGAGTAGGTGGCTACCACACCCATGAAAGGGGTATAACCGCATTATTTATACCAGTTGTTTGTTCGAATCGCCATTCTTTAATATTTTCAGAGCTTATGGTAGCCGTAAATGTGAATTCTATCGACTGTTGCTGTCAACTGTGTATAGTTGACGGCCAACAAGAGTGAGGAAAACAGATGGAGGGATACTGTTTTATTCCAAATATTTTAATACAATTTTTGTAAATTAGGTTAACAATAGTTTCTTAATGTTGCTTAGTTTCTTATGATGCCTTTGATAATATTATCTGTCTTCGGCAATTTGAAGTAGTTGAGTGGTAAGAAATATACGCGATTAAAAGTGTTATTACCTAGAAAATTATCCTTGCAATAATCTACGTCGAAAAATCAATGTAAAATCAACAAGTAAGGAAGGGCTAAGTGTAGGTGTAACCGAAGATTTTATAATCTTGCAACTTGCAAGGATCAAATCCGGGAAAATTCCTTCAATTAATTCATTTTATAAATATATAACTCATACACTGACCAACATATTCAGTATAGGGTTTGTTAGAATAACGAAAACCATTATATGTGGTATACGAGGGTTTGGGTAATTTATATATACCAATATCACATATTTTCGACATTAAACTATAGTATGTCCAATATTATCCGTTCAGTTAATTTTGTTAAGATATCTTACATATTGACCGATATATACGGTATAAAGCCAATCAGAAGTTTAAAAATCTTATATTTGACATATGAGAGATATATGAGGGCTAGCGCAAGTTTTCACCCGATTTTATTAATTTTAGGCACAGAGATGTACCGTTAGGAGAAAAACACGCTCAATCCATTTAATTAAGATAACTCATATATTGACCGGTATTTGCGGTATAATGTCAGCCGGAAGTACGAAAATGTTTATATTAAATTTTGTTGGGACTAAGGGAATTATTGATCCGATTCAACCCATTTTTGGCCCACGCATATTCGTGAAAAGTTTTATCTTGATACATAAATTTTTGCTTAATTTGTATACCGGAAATTGAAAAATCAAATTTATAAACGGTGTCTTGAGAAGTAAGCGTGGTTGTAATTCGATATCGTCCATTTTCACACTGCGGTATAAAAATATCAGAATAATGCCACTCACCGAATTTGTGTGCCAAGTTTCATTACGATATCTCAATTTTTACTCAAGTCACAGCTTGCACGAACAGACGAACGGACAGGCGGACAGACAGACATTCGGATTTCAACTTGCCTCGTCATCCTGACCATTTATATATATATATAACTAGATATAGTTTAGTTTTAGGTGATACAAACAACCGTTAGGTGAACAAAACTATTATACTCTGTTTAAAAATGTTGCAGGAGTATAAAAATTAAATTAATTAATTTTGTATGCTATTTTTAAAGGTTATACATATCAAAATATGGAGAAAAAAATTGTAAATTTCACACAGTGTGTCCCTTAAAAACAGATAATTATTGAGAAATTTGGCGCCTTTACATCTAAAAAAATCTTCCTCAAATAGTTAATGATTTCTCCAACGACCCTATCACATAGACGCCTACCGCGCGATGCCATTCGGGTAAGCATAATAGCTGCATTCACGCAGCGCGGTAATTGAACTAAAGGCGATGCCATAAAATCGCTATACATATGACCACTTTTATGCTTTTAGTTAAGAAAATGGCTTTTACGATCCATGAAAATCAAACTTAAGAGTTATTAGCGAATATCGACGCGAGTGTGTTGAAGCTAAATTTTCTGCTTAAAATATGTTACGATATACTAAGTGGTGGCGGGTAAGCGAGAAGTATCGCAAAAGAAAGAATACCGAAATATTTTCGCTCTCCTTTGGAATTTTTTTACTAAAATTTTATTAATTAACAGGTGAACCACACAAATGTAGGCAAGTGGAAATCAATGGAAAAAATCGCATAAAAACGCTTTCATTGTTGTTATTGTTGACTTCAAAAGGCGAACTCGTGTAACGGTGCAGATTAAATAGAAATAAAAGTCGCTTGTAGAAGTGGTAAATTGAATTGAATATCACCATTGATTGGCACACAATAGTTCTCGTAGAAATCGTTAAGACAAGATGAGAAAGAAAGACAGAAGGCAATGCAGCAAAAACAGCAACAATAACAATGTAAAGCACATCGTCTGCGGAAAGAGAAAATGAAAAGGTCGTTGGGGGTTTTGATTGATTTGTGGTCCGCAAAAATTTCACACACCTTAATGCGTACAGGTAGATTTTTGCGGCTTAATGTGTAGGTTGTTGTTGTTGATTATTTATTTGTTTGCCTCGCTACTCAACAAGTCACGCATGCGCAACGCAGCACTTGACAAGAATTCGGTTTTGTGTGTGCGTTCGCGTGGAAACGATAATTTATGGTGTTGTCGGGAATATTACTGGGTAGAATTGATTCGTTGTGGCTGCTTAAAGAATTTATTGGGTCAGCAAAAAAAATCGTATTTTTTATTGTTTTAACATTTTGCTTTTAGCGTAATTTGGTTGACTTGTAGACTTGACTGATTGAATGCTGCGAATAATATTGATTTCTAGAATTCATTAAACTGACTGCAGGTAAGGTTTCTGTAGATAGATGTATGTATTTATTTAGAAATTATTAACTATTTTTAGCTATTTTACGAGCGGAATGTAAAACTATGTTAGAATGAAGTGTTTCTAATGAAAGAAGCTTGTTAGAAATACTTTTATCAAAACTGTTTTCTAAGATCAGCAATTTTTGGAGCCCCACAAAAGGGGTACAAATAATTTCTATCTACATAAATATAATTTATTGTCCAATTTATTCTCTAAAAAAATTATAGAATAACACAATAAAGTAATGGAGATTTAAAAAAAAAAAAATAGTAAAAAGAGTATGAAAAGATGTATTGATTTTGATCGGTCAGTTTGTAAGACATCTATCATACGTTATCTTCTGTGTGGAAAACTTAATATGCCCTGTTGAGGGTATAAAAATTCGTATAGGAAAGATAAGTAGTCTTTTTAAGTTGTTATCAAATTATTTCTCTAATATAAGGTTAAAGGATAAAAGATAAGATAAAGTTAGGTAGTAGATGTTAAACAAAAGATAAACAATGAAAAAAATTAATAATTAAAAATCCATCAGGAAAGTTATGTTAGGGTAGTGCTAGTAAATTACACTCAAAAAAAAGCAAAGCAGTACAACAAAGTATGTAGTAAAGGTGACCTCTTCACTCATGACCAAAAAATGACACTGTTATATATTAATTAAATAAAATTTCAAAACTTGAGATTGAATTCTAAGTCACAGTATCATTAACCTAGAGGAAATATTTTTTCCGATAACTTCATACAACTTTTAATCGAAATAAGTCCCTCAAAAAGAATATAAGAAGAAAAGTAAGAAATTTTTTGAGATTCGAGTACATTTTTTATGCGAGAGTATTGTAATTATATATCTGAAATCAGGTAAATTGATCGCTGCACAACTTAAAGTACGTTATATTTTTAAAGAAACCTCAAATAAAGGAAATGATTCAATTGGCAATACAAAATTTATAACAGCTTCTAGCTAGGGCTAGGTTTTTTCAACGGTGCCGATTTTTTCATGGCTAGAAAACGTCATGCTTCACTCTATTTCTATAATTTTTGTTCATTTTAGAGCTTTTATAAAACTCAGGTGAAGTATATTCAGCTTTGACTTTAGGCTTTGCTCCAAACCGTTGATTTTAGCGTTCCAAAGTCATCGGAGAAGAATATTTACTATAAATTTGAAACCGTAAAACTATTACTATTATATCTGATTTGGTATAGATAGTTTCTCTATGGAAGAATTTTGGCTTTTCAAACACTGTATAGTATATTTTTATTTCATTTTTTGGGCTAATTTAAATAATTTAAATAATTTAAAACTAATTTTTGGCTAACTTTCAAAATTTTGATTTTTAAAAAGCACATTTAAATCAATCACAAACTGTCACAAAATAATTTATATGTTAGCTTATAATTTGTATAACATTATTACGTAACAAACACAAATTGCATTCCATAAAATACTAAGATTTTCCACTTTTACTTTTTGGCTTAGTTTTTACCTTCATTTTACTT